TTTGTTCTAATGGTGTTTGTAAATAGGATATCATGTCCGCATCTTGTACAGCAATTAACCACTAGGAAGAATGTATGCAATGTGTTAATTATTGAAGCTCTCCTACCAATTTGGTTTGAAACTGTCTCATTGCTATTTGTTTCTCAATAAAATTATGGGAAAAAAAATATCATGTCTGCATCTCATACTATGAGTAACTACTATGAAGACAACAACATGCAATGCATTAATTATTGTAACTGTCCTACTAGCCTGTTTTGAAACTGTCTCATTGCTACTTCTTTTTCAACAAAATTAATTTTAAAAAATTAAAATTAAAAAGAAAAAACAATGTGAAGACATAATTAGTTTTGTGTAGCCTTGGGAATACTTCAATAATTTAACCTCAGCTCATCTCTTATTCTAACACAACCTATGAATTAAAAAGAAAAAAAGGAACCAAAACCAATCAATCAAAAAGGTCCTAGAAGGGCTGGCCAGATAACTCAGCAGACTAAAGTGGCTGCTTACACAGATGCTGGAACCAGGATTCGATCCCCAGCACCACAAGCCATGCTGGCTCCACCCCCGTGGATCACTACAAGTCCACTCTATGTAGTGAGACCCTGAAGACCCTGTATTAAATAAAAAATAAATAAAATTTTTAAAAAGCTCATAATGAACACTCACCATTTTCTGAATTGGCACTACCTCCACTTGTTGCTGCAGCCTCAAAAGATGTTCCGCGGACTGAAAACACCTTTACTTTCTCATCACACTTCACTGTACATAAAGCATTTCCTAAAATACAAAATTTGTCTTTTAGAAAGCAATCTTGAAAGGCAACAATATACACATTCCTTTCAGGCTCAGAATTTACCGCGCAAAGACAAGGAACAACTAGGGATCAGTCGTTTTCTGCCTCTACTGCACAGAGGGAAAAGATCATTACAGTTGAGAAATAGGTAAGTGAACATTTGTATAACCTCAGATGGCTTATAAAACAGGACAGGTGTTGACATGCCTGGGAGCAAGAAACCGGAACAGCCAGCCACACTAAGGTACACTTTCCCCACAAAGCCTCCCTCTCTAAAATACAATAGAATCAGTAACTTAAGAATGTGAGTTCTGACAACTTAATGAGGATGGAGTCACTATGCACACTGAAGGAGGATATCCGTGAAAACCTGAAAGCGCATAAAGAACAAATTCAGATGTGCCGAGTCTGTAAAAGGCTGTGACACATTTCCTAGAAGTTAGCAATCACATTACAAACTATGACCAAATATTTCTCTTCTAAAGCAAGTAACTTTAATAAGAACTGAGTTATCTCTTCAATCCCACTGGAGACCACTGTGCTCAACAAAAAATCAATCCACCAAAGAGACATGGAAATGAGTTTCTTAATGACAAAGAAAAGGAATAGGAAATGCAAGAAGATAAAGAATACTATTTAAAAAGAAAAAAAGTGTTGGCTTCCCAGGCAACACTTACAAAATGTATTAGATGTGAATCTAATTCTTATTGACCTCTGGAAAAAAGACTCCACAAATGAGCGACGGACAGGAAGGAAAGTTCTGCACTGGGGTTTACAGAGAGAATGCCATGTCATAGCCCAGTGACAGTTCTGGAATAAGATTTTTCTCAAAAACCTTTAAAATGTTCCATTTAAAGCAATTACATGGCCTGTTTAAAACCTTATCTCCAAGGTTTGTTTATACTTTCTACTAAAATTTAATGCCAATTAAAGGTCTTCCTTGGGAACTCACCTGCATAAACGGTTCTCACAAATGTGTCAGGTGACTTGATCTCAATGATGTCAGAAATGGGGGCAACATCAAGTTTAGCTGCTATTCTGGGCAAAAGGTTCTAAGGGCAAAATAAGCAGTGAGTTACATGCATACACACTGATGGATGACTATAAACTATCTTCTAAATGCATAGTCAATGGAAACTGTAATTCATTTAAGTTCGCATGCATTTCCATACGACTTCAAGCCCGGCTTTGTAGGTAGTCTGAAACCAATGAATGCCTATCATTTCTCTAACTACAGGAAGAGTTCTATGTGGTTTACAAAAATAAACTACTTTAACTCAATGTGTTGAATTAGGAGTTGAGTTTAAAATATTACTCTATGGATCACTTAATTTGGATAAGATAGGAAAATTCAGAAGAATGTTAAAATTCTCAAATACTAAAAAAGACTATACACTTAGCAATAGATATGAACGAAAACATTTCAGCACACGTTTCACTTTTTGCTGAAACTGGTATTGCATAAAAGTGAAATATTCTAGCCAGTATCTTAAGTGTGTTACCTCAAAACCATAATGGGTGTTGTAGTTTGGACTTCAAATGTCCATCAAAAGTCATGTGGTGAAGACCTGGTTGCCAGGTTCTTTGCACTGCTGAGAGTGGTAGAACCTATGAGGTGGGGCCTACGGGAAAGTCACTGGAAGTGTGCCCTTGAAGGGATGCTGAGAACTCTGCATCTTTCTGTTTCCCGGCCACCATGAGATGATATCTCTGTTCCATCACATGTTCCAGTTATGCTACTTTTTTTTTTTTTTTTTTTTGCGGAACTGGGGAACGAACTCAGGCCCTTGCACTTGCCAGGGAAGTGCTTATTCCACTGAGCCATCTCCCCGGCCCCATGTTCCAGTTATGATGCTTTGCTTCACCACACGCCCAAAGCAATGGGGTCCAGTGACCATGCACTGAAACCTCAGACACCATGAGCCAAAATAAATCAGCCTTCTTAGGGTGATTTTCTCAGGTATTTTGTCACAGTGACAGAAAGGAGACTAACACAGTTGGTACAGGATCATTACAGATCTACTTAGCTTCTTCTGATGGACTGTTTTCTCATTCTAAACCCCTTTGCAGAGGGTAACACCAGCCTCTAGATCATGTGACCCCTATTCTCAAAATTCTCACCTATCACAAAACAGCCATCAAGGCCAGAGAGCTAAAATCTATCTAATAAGATACAACAGACACTCTTTCCTTGTCTTATAATCTTGCAGGTAAACTGTATCACAAAAATTTAAGACTCATAAAGTTATTTAAATCACCAGACCCCAACCTAAAATTCTGGCATCAAGAACAAGTTCAGTGGAAGACAATCTTTCCATATACCTGTGGGAAAAGGGAGGGTTCAGGTGACTCAAAGGATTGCTCTCATGGGCAGTTTATAGTAACATCTGTCCACCTGTGAGGATCTAACACCACTGCTGATCTGACAGGAGAGAAGCTCAGGCAGTGAAGACCAGTAGCTGTAAGCACAGACAAAGATCTGCTTCCTTGCCTGCCATTCACTTCCTGCTATGTAGCCCACTTCCTACCAATGCATAGACCAGTAATGGTCAGTGGCCCAGGACCTGGGGACCCTGATTTAAATCATCCAACACAGAAATAATAACTCAGGAGTGAAATGGTAACAAAAATCTTTGTACCCATTAGATTAATAGAGAAAATGTTAGAGCACGTAACGTCTCAAGTGCTGGCAACTGACCCATAAAGATCAAAGCTTAAAGGCCTTTAACCCACCTATTTCTCTTTTAGAATTCTATTCTAAATAAATACTACTGCATGTATACAAACATGCATGAATAGGGATTTTTCCTTGCAGCAATTTATAAATGCAAAAAATCAGAAACAACCTAACTATCCCTGGGTATTTGTATAATTTAAAACTCCACAGAAAGACACCTTAAACAGTGAATGTGCAAATACTGACAGCCATCCTCCTGAAGAGGCAAGGGTGAGCTGGGCATAAGGTGGGCCTGCACACACTGTCCTTCATAATGATGTGCTACATGAATCCTCTCTAATAAGAATGAATCTGTGTGCAACTTTTAAAGTAAAATAAAAACTAAAAACTACACCTTATTAAGAATGGAAAAAAAGGAGCCAGAGCACACATGGCCAGAGACAAAAAGATCCAGTACCAAATTTCTTTTCTTTGGCTCCCTCTCCTGTGTCTTTCAGTGCCAGGTGGACAAGCGCTCTGCCATGAGCTACATCCCTGGCATCCTTAATCATTCCACTATGCTAACTTCCTGTAGATCACTACCCATCTAAGGAGCATTCATTCTGCAGATATATCATAATGCATGTGACTACACTGCCACTTTCCTTACCTTACCTAAGGGTATCTTCAGCCACTACAAAATTCCTTCCAAATCCCCGAAATAGACAGAATTGGCCTTTCCAAATATTCATCAACCATCCAAATGAATTACCTATTAAGACTGGTTATTGGGGCCAGGGAGATGGCTCAGTAGAATAAGTGCTTGCCTGGCAAGCACATGGGCCTGAGTTCAATCCCCAGTTCCACCAAAAAAAAAAAAAAAAATGATTGGTTACTAATGCAAATGATATATTCTCTTTCTCTCTCTCTCTCTCTCTCTCTCTCTCTCTCTCTCTCTCACACACACACACACACACACAATCTAACAGCTTTTAAATAGGATAATTTAACAACAGCCTAAAGAGGGTTTTTTCCAAGGCAAAAGTTGAAAACCTGGAAGAAGCACTTTAATAAATTATGATAAAATGCTGAAAGAATAGTTATCTCTGTGACAAAACTTAACTCTAGGAATGGCATTTTATCAGAAATTTGACAAAATAAAGAAAACACATTCTAATGAAAGCACTCTGCTGCTACAGCCCAGCCTTGGCGTGGGACATCGGACTACATACTACAGTTCAATCTCGGGGTCTCACCTTTCCAAAGGCAGAAGCTCCAGCACAGATGTGTGTGTAACTGAACTGCTTCTGCGTGGCCAGAACCAACGGCGTCAGTTCCTCTGACAGACAAACACATGGATAAAATGCACTGCATGACATTTCCTAGTATTTTATATAGTATTTCAAGCAGGACTCAGACACTACATTCTTGCACTAAAACTCCTCACCTGGAAGCAGGCCTTGGTAGGCATCATGCTGAGCCACCAGAACTTTCGCTACTCCTGCTACTTTACAGAGATCTTGAACCACCTGTGATCAGAAGAGGAGTTACTCAGTATTCATCTATCAGAAATACCCAAAAACAGTTGGGCCACCACTAAATATCCACAAAATATTAAGTCTTAAAAATAAAAATCGTTTCTATTAGCAAAAGGGCTAGGTAGAAATTTTTAATTCTTTAACAAAGAAAATCTACCAAGTGATCTCACTATAGAATGATGACCATACATAGTCCTAATACAAAAGATTTCAACAAAAATTTTGCCTTGACAAAAACAAAAATTGACATTTAGTCAATCCGAGTGTAAATCCATCATCTTATCAAGGGTAAAACTGAGATCTTCTCATTCTCTAACACAGCCACTATGTTTTAGATTTTGGGTTTCCTAGAGGTAAACATCTTACTTCACAGCTCACTGCACTTATTCAGCAACAGTAATTTTTGTCTATATTAAAACATCCCTAAGCAACAAAGAAAATCCTATATTGAAACAGACTGCCCATTACTGAGTTCAAAAAAGCTGTTAACCCTTCAGACTTCCTATATACAGAAAGTGATGAGAACACTCCCTTTCCGAGCATCTTGAATACATCATGACTGTTTTCCACTCCTCAGAGGATGCCAGTCTCTGGTCTGCTTTTTGTCCCCAGGCTGCTTCACTCATCACTGATGAGTGGGCACCAAAGGCTGTGCCTCTTGCCCCTCTATGGTCTGTGAGGCTCACTAACATTCACTAGAGAAAGAACAGTGCCATACACCTCTGCTGGGCTAAGTATTCTGCAGTCTACTGCCCTGTACATAGGGCTTCCTAGGACGGATGCACATGTATTCAATTTCTCTGAGAGAATTTCTAACTTTAGGAGAAACTTAGCTAATTTCAGAGTAATGATACACCAGCCTAGGATAAAAGTAGGAAAGAATTTTGCCATTAAAATTATCATTTAGGCTAGGTGTGGTAGGGCACACCAGTAATCCCAGCCTATGGGAGGCTGAAGCAGGAGGATCATTGTGAGCTCAAGATCAGCCTGGGCTACAAAGTGAGCTCAAGGCCAGCCTAACTGCATAATGGGACCCTGTCTCAAAAAGACAAAAGAAAACAATTTTTTTTTAAACATATTTGGTACAAGGTCTCACTATGCAGCTCAGACTTGTAGTGATACTCCGGTTTTTCAGCCTCCTCATTGCTGGGATTACAGAGTGTGCACCACCATGCCCCGTCTCAGTGGCCCACTCGGCATTTCCAGGAGGCAGGGCCAGTATGGCACATGCCGGGGACCAATCCCCAGTCGCTGCGCTTGCCTAGGCAGGCACTTAGTCCTCTGAGGTATCTTCCCAGCCCTAGAAAACAATTTTTTAGTAAACAAAACAAAACTATTATTTACTGCTCAAAACTACTGGTACTATATGAAGAATCACTATTTATGATAAATAGTCAAGGAAAATAATATAAAACTGAAATCTCTCTGGACTATTTAAACATGTATTCATTGTTTTTCTTTAAGATTAACTAAGCCAGCCAGAGTGGTACACACCTATAATCTCAGCCTTTAAGGCACTATTTTATTTTTTATTTGCAGAACCAGGGATTGAACTCAGGTCCTTGTGCTTGCCAGGGAAGCACTCATTCCACTGAGCCATCTCCCCGGCAATCTCAGCATTTAAGAGACTGAGATAAATATTTCTGTGGTATATGTCTGAAAATTGGGCAACCAAATTGATAACCATATTATTAGACACTGTGATTAAAACTGATTTTATAAGGTTAAATAGTTGGATAGAAATTAGATAGATAAATACACATAAGTAAGCTGCTGGAATATATTCTAAAATACCAATTTCATATAAGGAATTAGAAATCACACTAGATTTCTGAATGCCGATTTTGCTCTGCACTGATAATTTAGTAAAAATTAAAATCTTTTAAAAAGAAATGCATGGAGCCCAGGAATTTAAATAAACCTGGGCAACATAGCATGATTCCATGTCAAAAAAACCCCCCAAAAACTATAAAGGTTTACCAAGTAGTTTCAATAAATTATTGTGCCAGTGCAAATGCTTTTAAAGCTGCATAAAATTTAGTCCCACAAGGAATAAAACACCTTACTCTAAAGAAAATACAGCAAAACAGTTAAATCTACATATCCTAGAACCAGACTTACAAAATTTTCAAACTTCCAATCTTCAAGTATTAGACATCCTGCTCATTACTTACACATTCTTCAAGAAAATTACTTAATGTCAATATACTCGACGTTTCCAAATGTAAAACTGAAATTTTTATTTTTTCAACATCTCATTTCTCCAGGTAACCCAGGCTGGCCTGGTCTCAAACTTGCTATCCACCTACTTCACCCTCCTAAGGGTCAGGATTACAAGCATATTTCACCAAGCCCAGTTAGAAATAATATATTAACGACACCTACTTTATATATCATGTAGAATAAATGAGCTAATACATATTAGTGGATTATAATTTTTATTCACAGATGATTCTTGAAGCCTTACAAGACCTCCTCTGAGACCCCAAATGATTGTGACCTCCACTGTTCTCAATCATTTTTAATAAAGTAAGACTGATGACAGGAATAATTTTATTTTTTAGTAAATTATACTTCTATTCTCTACATGATGTTCAAATAGAGTAATAAATGATACTTACCTTTAAAAAAAATAAATAAATAAAAAATAAAAAATAAATAAAAAATAAAAAGAAACGCATGTTCTCCAGATTTGTCCGTGAGGCTTGAGTTCCCAACTACACACTCAGCATCTCATTCTAGATAGGATGAGAAGAACAGATGCCTCCAATGGTATAAGAGTAACACAACTGACATCTACAAGGCCACCCAGCCTTGCAGGCCATTTGACAATACCTACCGGGTTGGTTTCCAAACCTGTAACTATCTTAACAGGCACATCTTTTAGAACCAGCTGTAATATAACCTGAAAAGAATAGTACTCACAGTTGAATTCTACCAATTAAAAATTAACACACATGATATTTTGTCCAGATTTACCACTTTCAGGAATTAGAAGCAATTAGTAAGTATATTCATCAATACAAAAAGGGATTGGCTATTAACCTTTACAGGGACTCAAACATTATCATTTTCCTTGGTACCTGATGGCACACGATGGTGCCAGGGAATCTAAATCAAGTGTTGTACCTCATTTCAGAAGACAAAATGTTCAGTGAGCGAGCCTTTCAGCTCCTTCTTCACACACAGTAATGGTTGTGACGCTAGCTATTTAATGAAGATTAGAGCCCAGTTTGGGTTACAGTCTTCAGCATAATTCTCTGCTGCCATCTTTCCCTGTCTCTTGATGAAGATTCTATTTGCTATGGTTGACCTAAAAAATTTCTCACCTTGTCACATTTGGTTCCAGCTACTAAACAGGACACCTCACCCCCAAGGCGTCTGGCTGCAGTGATAGTGTTTAAAGTAATGGGTGCCAGGGAGTCATTCGAATGCTCGGCTATTACAAGGGTACTCTGAAATCGGAGCAATGAGGCCTAAAAAAGAAAAAAAAGGAAAAGATTATTAATACAGCGTATTTTTAAAACATAACTGGAAAGCATGCTTTAAAAAGAAAACCACCGTTATACTCAATTCTATAAATGTATTTATAAAACATTTAGTAGCAAAAATCAGGGTATTTGTATCTGTAATAGTAACATTTTTATTTAATAAAATCTGAAATACAGATTAGTTTCCTACAGTTAAAATATTTTTTAGGCTGGACATGGTGGCACATGTCTATAATCCCAGTACTTGGGGAGGCTAAGGCAAGAAGACGGCAAGTTTGGGCTAAGGCTGAACAACTCAGCACTTAGAGAGACCCTTGTCTCAAAAAATAATATAAAGTTTACAAACGCTGAGGATGTAGCTCAGTTCAAAAGCTCTGGGTTCAAATCTCTAGTACTGGAAAAAATAATAAGTACTTCAAAATAATTTTCCCATCAAGTTATATCCAATGAGTAACTGCTACATACTTAAATTTTAAATTCTTATACTATCAAACTAGAAACTGGTCAAATCCTAATGTTAAGTCCTTACAACATACTAGCAAACTAGAACCTGGTCAAAGCCTATCAATTACATACATACTGGACACCTAAGTGCAGTATATCCAGAAATAATGAGCTCAAAACCAGTTACTAAGTTTGATTCCTACTGAGTCAGGCAAAAAGCATTCAATATAAAAATAAATGAAAAGGACAATTTTGTTTTTGAAACTATGACATCAGATAATTTTGATGGGACTTCAACTGTGCAAAGACACTTCTGAATAAAAAAGAAAAAAGGCTATATACAATATCTTGGAATCAACCCTATCTAGTATAGATTTTTTAAAAGACTACAAATAACTTAGTTCATGCTAATCTGGAATAATTCCAAATAGTAGGAGCTCAAAGATGAACAGGAATAGCCCTTGTGCTCAAAAATTTCATAGGCAGTATCTTGTTCATATGCAAATCACTATAAGAACAAATAGTTTTTCAAATAATGAACTGAACGAACTAGATGTTGAAGGCTGCAGTCCAAGACGGACAGCCAAGCAGAGTAAAGGAAATAAGTTCAGGCATCCACAGCAGGTGAAAGATTAAGACTGGCTCATAGGCATGAAGAAAGGGAAAATTTTCCAACTATCCTTGTGGAAAATGGAAATAACAAAAGAGACACTAAGGAGGATCAAATGGCATGGCTGTGCGACTTAATTTAGCAGAAACCTTTAGCTCTAGAGTTGCAGTGAAAAAAGCACAGTATGAAATTTATCCAGAGCTAGAAATTTACAAGACGGGTATAAAGGGAAGCTAAGTACAAGACAGTAATGCTGCTTCTAGAATTCATATGCAGTTTTTACAAATTTTTTCACTAACTACATCATATATATCATTTGCTATGTTTTCATATTCTTTACCCTTCTTATTAGTGTTATGATTTAAATTCAAAATGTCCCCTAAAAGCTCATGTGTTGAAGGCTTGGTCCCATGCCAGATCTATTAGGAGGCAGGGGCAACTCTGAAGGAAGGGTCTACTTGAAGCAGATCCCCTAGGGGTGCATCTCTGAAGGGCTACTTTGTCCTGGGCCCCCTGCTTTCTTGCTTTCTACTTCCTGACAACCATAAGGTGAGCAACCTATCTGCTGTGCCCTTCTGCCATCATGTTCTGCCTAACAGCAATAGGGCCAGCCAGTCTCTGACTGGAACCCCTGCAACTGAAATAAAACAAATTTTCCTCTTTTAAGTTGATTTTCTTAGATATTTTTGTCATAGCAAAGGAAAGCTACCATACACTGTACACGGACTCCTGGTTTAACCAGTCTCTGTGGATATTTGATTTACTCACAATTTTTTTATTAGAAACAATGCAGAGAAGACAATCCTCATAACTAGACCTTGTACTCCATCTCAACAGATGGGCCTTCCTTCTGCTGAGGAATAATCTATTCTTTTGACCTGAACCTGGCCAGACTTTATTCTGATTGCTTTGCCTCCCCCTAAACTGCTTCTGTCCATCTGTCACCAAGGCAGGGATCTTCCTTCCTCTCTACTACCTAGCCTACACCTGGTCCTCACCTCCTCCCCAGACTTGTAACTCCTTCCACCTCAATGAGCGCAGCCTACAGCTGGGGATCTGAGGGCTAGCCTTCCAGAGGTAGAAAGACTTCCAGGGACACACCCTGAGGTGGGAGGTGAGGACAACAGCAAGATACACCACAGGACACATTCATTGCACTGTGGTGTCACTAGATGACATTTCTCGTCTTGGTCCTCCTTTTTTTCATTTACTTAAAGCAAACAAGGAAACAGGAAAGCACTTGACTTGTGGCTGCCAAACGAAGCACTTAATACATGTCCTTTTTTTTATTACAAGTAAAACAACTTCCTGTAAGAAAGGAGGTCATTCAAGTTAAAGCAGAAACCTTTATGTATATCTTAAGCTTTCCTACGACAAATTCCTAGAAGTGCCAGATGAAAAGACAGGCACAATTTCAACACTTCTGACAAAGACTGACATTAGCAGTTCTTCAGAAAAGTAGTGATTCACAATTCCTGAGTTGAAATGAAAGTTCTGGGAAAGTAAGTATCTTACCTTTCTTTTTCATATCTTCATAATCTAATATGCTACTTTTCAAATGTATATCTATAGGATTCATTCTATGGCACTGTTAATCAGAAGAGCACAATATCTTATAAAGGACTCTGTAATTAAGACTCAATGGTGTGATTTATGATTTAAATGATATTTCACACAAATTGCTAGTAACAAACTATTAGCTACACATCAGACACCATATTTTTTATTGTTTCACTCATCATTTACCATAAAAATTACCATATTTCTATCACCATTTGAAGAATAAATCCAAGATTTGGTGGCAGAAAGCCCATATTTGCTGAAAATTATAGTTTGATCATAAAATAAATTGAGTTCTCCTAAGAAACTGTCAAGCTTTTTAGAACTTCCACTGGAACATTATACAAGATTTTTAAAAGACTGTTCAAAATGACATTTATAAGAGTAAAAAAAAATAAAAGAATCCGCTAAGTTCACCTACCTGATCAGTGTTTGCTAAGCCCTACAAACATCATAAAGGCATGGCATATTTACTGGTTCCTTTAAACTTTTAAAAACACTAAGCTTCCTTCTACTTTGTTGTTCTATCTAACATTTCTTGGACTGTACAGAGAGAAGAGCTGTAACTGCTAGCATGGCTACATGGCAGAATTCCACAGCGATGGTTTGGAGAGCCTGGAGAGCATTCAGATGTTACTCCTCAACCTGGAGCCCAGTTTCCTCCTACGGAAACTCAGAGAAAGGAACCAGTTTTCAAACTACCTTTGTGAACGCGTTCCGGGGCGTTCTGGGAAGGCCCAGGAACCACCACGCAGCACAAGGTGGAGAACAGGCAGCGAGTACTGATACAATGTACTCTTAAGCTCTGCTTTAATCCGATTAACCAACTCACATTTACAAAGCATTACACTAAGTAGTTTTATGGATTATATCTTATTTAAAACTCACAAAAATTTTCATGACGTAGGTACTACTACCCTGACTTGGCAAATGAGAAAATTGGAGCTTAAAGGTTACCAGCTAGGAAGTACAGCCAGGTTATTCTAAGTCCAAGCAGTTGGACTCCAGAGTTTGGTTCTGAACTAGTGATACACATCAATGTATCATCATCTGTTGCTGTTTTATATGTGGGTCAATTTGTTTCTGTATTTGGCAAATACACTCCTGTTTAAAATAAAACAAGCAAAAAATCACTGGTCAAAACAAAAAAAAAAAAAAAGAAAAAAATAATAATTTCACAGGCCTCTTTTCTAGCTCTAAAAGTTCTATAACTCTAAAATCCTACTTTAAGTAGAAGAGTGGGGCAGAATTGTCAAAAAGTACAAGTTCATCCCTGAAAAGGCTTTAAGGCAACAACAAAAAATCATACAACTTATTGCCTCTCTACACAAAGGACTCTCTTTAACAAGAGTGATGGGAGGAAAACAAAAGCCAAATTCTTAGACTTTAAAGAAAGTAATTAATGCAGGCCAGAGTCACCCATATAAATTCTTGGTCACCAGGCTTACCAGAGCCCTCCTTGTTGGCGCACGCTCACCCTCCCCAGCAACTACTTCAAAGATACTCTCCTGATATTTCTCACTCAGAAAGCAAGGTCTGCTGTCCCTTATTGGAGGGAGCCTTCATCTCTCACAAGAGAAACTGAAGCCACCAGCAGGAATCTGCTTCGCTTCCTACATTCAACAGAAATTCTTAGCCCTGGGCTATCACAAAGGATGCTGCATGGGATGTTCTTTTCTCCAGAGCCTGATTCCTCTATCTGGCACCTAGAGTCCATTTCCTCAAATCTACTCAGAGACTGCTTTCAATGTCATTCATTATTACGTTCCTACTCATCAACATCTAAACATGTTTAACACTTGCCCAATTTTAAAGAAACCCATGTTAAAAAGCCACTAGTCCACACTGTACTTCCAATACCACCTTCTCCAACTCTTTATCTTTCATTTATGCCTCTGTCAACTGGTTTTTGCCCTCACCAAAATGACTAACACTTTTCAGACTCTTTTACCTTACTTGTTTTCAGCAATGACTACTCCCTTCTGACTTTCAGGGCTTAAATTATCACCTGTGTGGGAATGAACTGTGTGTGTGTGTGTGTGTGTGTGTGTGTGTCTGTCTGTCTCCGGTTATTTCCACACTAAGTGCTAGACCTATAAATAGTTACATCTGTTTATCTAAGAGCTTAACTTGCATGTCTTGTCAAATGATTTGTGATTCAACAAATCAAAAATCTTATCTTTCATCTGTTCCTCCAGTTCCTTCCAAAACTACTCCTCCAGACTACAAACCATGATCCAAGAGTCATCTCTGGGTTTTTTCTTAGCTCTCACTTCTAGTCACCCACTGAAATAATAATAGTTCTTCCTTCTAAATAGAACATCTGTTTATTGCCTCTATCAGGCCAAATCCAAGGGCAGGTCACTGTCCC